TTTTGAGATTCATCCGGGGCAAGCTTGTGATAACCCCATTGCCCGCGAACGGATTCGGTGGACAGAGTGCGTTGGGTAGGCTGAAGCCCTCGCGGAAGCAGCCGAAGCCGCAGGTCCCCAGGCAACCAGATAATGGCAATTTCGAAAACAGGGAAGAAAGGAAAATTTACCTCAATGCTGCTAGCCCGCCCAGGCGCCATCCACACCCTTTTGAACCAAGAATCTTGGCTGGAGCTGACTTGAGCATTTCATCGAACAGCTCGCCTGCAGCGCAAATACTGGAAATCGAACTAAAGAACTCTTGGCTGTAATATATTCACCAGAAACGTCGAGTCCTTAATTAATGAGTCGCTCACCATTGATTCCGATCACCGGCGAGCACCAACCACCTCGGGAGGAAGTTATTAGAAGAGGCGGACTGACCTGCTAGCACACGACCCCTCCGCACAGCTGCGCCGCCGGCCGACTGACTGCCGGTCACCGCGTACCCGCACCTGTCGTCGCGCGGGCCTACTGCCGGGCTCCGGACTGCGGGTCACCGTGCAAACAATGTACCCAAAAATTGTGCTTCTTACAATATGAAAGAATAAGCAGACAATTGTTGAATTTTCACAATAAAAAAGTATCATAAGAAGGAATGAATTAATGGCATTGGTATTACCCTTCAAGAAAAAAGAAAAAGAAATAAAATAAAATAAAATAAAATCAAAATAATGAAGTTTTCTGAGGAAGATTGAATTGAATTAGTTGCATCGATAGTACCATTTAAGAAGAAATAAAAGCAAAAATACATATAGTGACAAAATTTGGACACGGTTTGCACAGAAATTGAGTTATTTTTATAGCATAAAAATAATAAGCATATACGCCAGATTCTAAGAAAAGTTTTCTAATTACGAATGAATCGGTATTACCCTTAAAGAAGAAATAAATGAAATGAAACTTAAAGAAAATCAAAATATTGAATTCTAAGAATGAGTTAGTTTCATTGGTTTACCCTTTGCCAAGAAATAAAATAAAAATAATGATTTTTTTCAAACAATTAATATAGAAATTGCACATTTTCATAATATGCAGAATACGAATATAATAGTGGAATTTCCACAAAAAGGGAAGTATCCTGAAAGATATGAATTTGTGACATTGGTTTTATCATTAAAGAAGAAATGAAATAAAAAAAATCCCCTAAAAATAATTAAAATACCAAAGTTTCCAGAGAGTATGCATTGATGGCATTGGTATTACTCATTAAGGAAAAAATAAATAAAATGAAAACAATAAGGTTTTCTAAGGAAGAATGAATTAGTGACATTGGTATTATTACCTTTTAAGAAGAAATAAAATAAAATAAAAACTAATTCAAAATCAAAACAATGAGGTTTTGTAAGGAAGAATGAATTAGTGACATTAGTATTACCTTTTATAAAACAATAATTTTAAAAAAAAATAATGACAAAATTTGCACATAATATACACACAAAATGCTCTTTTTTATAATATGCAAAAATAAGCTTACAATTGTGAATTTTTTCAAAAAAGGAATTTCCTAAGAATGAATGAATTAGAGGCATTGGTATTACCCTTAAGATGAAAGAAAATAAAAAAATAACCAAGTAAAAATCAAAATAATGAAGTTTTATAAGGAAAATTGAGGTAGTGGCATTGGCAATACCCTTTAAGAAGAAATAAAATGAAATAAAAACTAATTAAAAAATTACCTAATAAAGTTTTATAACAAACAATGAGTTAGTACCATTGGTATTTCACTTTAATATAAATATAATTAAAAAATGAAAATATTATACATAACTTTACACTAAAATTGCACTTTTGTAGTATGCAAACAATTATGTAATAGTGTAATTTTTGCACATAATAGATAGTATTATGTGTACATTTACTTACACTCACCCAATATCCCAAAAATATGTACAAACGAAGAAGAAAATGAAGAAAAACAAATAACAAAAGAAGAACACATAAAAACAGAAAAAATAACAAAGGAAAAGAGATATGGAGTAGGCGGTACATTAAATGGGCTTCAGCCCAGTAGAATATCCACTGACCCAAATATGTGGTGAGTCCAAACAAAAACATGCCAAACAACTCACAAAACAGTCCAGAAAAAAACACGAATCTCAAAGCAAGAATCAATGGCCAAGAAGTTGACTAACCCAAATTCAAAATTCAGGCGACTTACATATTTCTAAATTGGATAAAGTTTCTAATTCCCACATTCCATCATCTAGTACTCAGCCCGATGGGGGACAAGGGTTCGATGGAAC